CCTATAACCCCTAATGAAATAGAAGCAGTCATTGAAAGCCTCCCAACCAAAAAAAAAAAAAAGCCAAGGGCCAGATGGCTTCAGTGCAGAATTCTACCAGAACAGAAATACAAGGAAGAGCTAATATCAACACTCCTCAAATTGTTTCACCAAACTCTTTTTACGAGGCCACAGTCACCTTGGTACCCAAGCCTCATGAAGACACAACTAAGAAAGAAAACTACAGACCAATATCCCTCATGAACATTGATGCAAAGATACTCAATAAAATACTGACAAACCAAATCCAAGTACACATTAGAGAAATCATCCACCATGACAAAGTAGGCTTCATCCCTGGGTTGCAGAGATGGTTTAACATACGAAAATTTATCAACATGATCCACCATATAAACAAACTGAAAAAGATAAAGGTCTTGGAGAGATCAGGGATAACAGGACCATACCTAAACATAATAAAAGCAATGTACAGTAAACCAACAGCCAACATCAACTGAATGGAGAGAAACTTAAGGCGATTCCTCTAAAACCAGGAACAAGACAATGCTGCCCTCTCTCTCCATATCTCTTCAGTATTGTACTTGAAGTTCTAGCTAAAGCAATAAGACAACAAAAGGAGATCAAGGGGATATAATTTGGAAAGGAAGAATTCAAACTTTCAATATTTGCTGATGGTATGATAGTTTACATAAGTGACCCAAAAAACTCTACCGGGGAACTCCTACAGCTGATAAACACCTTCAGCAAAGTGGCAGGATACAAGATAAACTAAAAAATCAGTAACCCTACTATATACAAATGATAAAGAAAGAAATCAGAGAAACATCACCCTTTACAATAGCCACAAACAACATAAAGTATCTTGGGGTAATGCTAACCAAACAAGTGAAAGACCTATATAGCAAGAACTTTGTGTCTTTAAAGAAAGAAATTAAAGGAGATACCCATAAATGGAAAGATCTTCCATGCTCCTGGATAGGTAGGATAAACATAGTAAAAATGGCAATCTTGCAAAAAAGCAATTTACATATTCAATGCTGCCCATCAAAATCCCAGCACAATTCTTCACTTACGTTGAAAGGATAATACACAACTTTATATGGGAAAACAAAAGACCTGGGATAGCTAAAACAACCCTGTACAATAAAGGAACTTCCGGAGACATCACCTTCCCCAACTTCAAGATCTACTATAGAGCTATAGTCCTGAAAACAACTTGGTATTGGCACAAAAACAGACAGGTAGACTAATGGAATCAAATAAAAAAATCCTGATATTAACCCACACAACTACAAACACCTGATTTTTTGACATAACGGCTAAAAGTATACAATGGAAGGAGGAAAGCATCTTCAACAATGGGATGATGGTGTGTAGAAGACTGCAGATGGACCCATGACTATTGCCATGCACAAAATTTAAGTCCAAATTGATCAAAGACCTCAACATAAATCCAGCCACACTGAATCTCTTAGAAGACAAAGTGTGAGGTACCCTTGAACAAATTGGTACAGGAGACTGCTTCCTGAACATAACTCCAGTAGCACAGGCACTGAGATCGACAATTAATAAATGGGACCTCCTGAAACTGAGAAGATTCTGTAAGGCAAAGGACACAGTCGACAACAGCAAATGGTAGCCCACAGATGGGAAAAGATCTTTATCAACCCCACAGAGGGTTGATCTCTAAAACATACAAAGATCTCAAGTAACTAGTCACTAAAACACCAAATAAAATTAAATTACCAAATTAAAAATTTGGGTACAGAACTGAATAGAGAATTCTCAATAGAGGAATCCAACATGGCTGAAAGACACTTAAGAAGGTGTTCAACATCCTTAGCCATCAGGGAAGTGCAAATCAAGAAAACTCTGAGGTACCATCTTACTATTGTTAGAATGGCTAAAATCAGAAACACCAATGACAACTTATGCTGGAGAGAATGTGAAGAAAGGGGAACACTCCTCTACTGCTGGTGGGAGTGCAAACTCATACATCTATTTGGGAGATCAGTATGGTGGTTCCTCAGGAAAATGGGAATCAGTCTACCACAGGACCCGGCAATCCCCCTCTTAGGCATATATCCAAATGATCCACATCCATGCAACAAAGACATGTTCAACTATGTTCACAGCAACATTATTTGTAATAGTTAGAACCTCGAAGCAATCTAGATGCCCCTCAACTGAAGAATGGATATAGATGTGGTACATTTACACAATGGAATACTACTTGGGAAAAAACAAAACAAAACAAAACAAACAACAAACAAACAAAAAACAATGGAATCTTGAAGTACACATGCAAATGGATGGAACTTGAAGAAACCATCCTGAATGAGGTAACCCAGTCACAAAAAGAGGAACATGGTATGTACTCACTCATATATGGATTTTAGACACAGAGCTAAGGATCACTAGCCTATAATTCACACCACAAGAAAAACTAGAACACATGAGGAACCTAAGAGATTCATACAAGGTCCTTCACAGAAGGGTAAGGGAACAAGATCTCTTGAGCATATTGGGAGTGGGAGTGGGGGGGGCAGTGAGTGGGGATGGAGTTAGGAGAGAGAGAAGGGGAGGAGAGGAGAACATGTGGGGCTAGGAAGATTGAGTCGGGGGATGAAGAGACAAGAGCAAAATGAGATACTATAATAGAGGGAGCCATTATGGGTTTGAAGAAAAAACTGACTTTAGAGACATGTCCAGAGATCTACAAGGATGACCCCAACTAACATTCTGAGCAACAGTGGAGAGGCTACCTTAAATGCCCTTCCCTGAAAGGAGATTGATAACTAACTTACGTGCCACCATAGAGCTTTCATGTGGTAGCTGATGGAAACAGAAGCAGACACCCATAGCTAAACACTGAGCCAAACTCCTGGAAATCAGTTGCAGAGAGGGAGGGATGATAAGAAAAGGGGTCAAGACTAGGCTACAGAAACTCACAGAGACAGCTGACCTGAAAAGGGGGAGCTAATGGACCCCCCAGACTGATAACTGGGAAGCCAGCATTGTACTCACTCAGAACCCCTGAACATGAGTCTCAGTTAAAAGGTCTGGGAAGTATTCGGGACTTCTGACTATTGGAACCAGGATGTATCCCTTGTGCATCCCAAGTACTTTGGGAGCACATTTCCCATGGAGGGATACTATCTTAGTCTAGAGACACGAGGGAGGGCCTAGACCCTATTTCAATTGACTTGACAGATTTTGATGATCCCTCCTGGAAGTCATCACCTTCCCTGTGGAGTGGGTGGGGAATGGGACGGGAGGGAGTGTCGGGGAGAATGGAAGGGAGGGAGAGGGTACTGGGATCAATATGTAAAATAAAAAATAATAAACATATACATAAAAAATATGATATGGTAGTGGTGAGATGGTTCAGTGGTTAAGAGCACTGGATGCTCTTCCAGAGAACCCAGGATCAATTCCCAGAGGGTGTGTGGTAGCTTATAATCAGCTGTAGCTCCAGTTCCAGAGGATATAATGCCATCTTGTGGAATCAACAGGTACTCTTTGCCTGTGCTGCACACACATAAATGAAGGTTGAACAACCCATATACATAAAATAAAAATAAATATCATCTGAAAACAATTTAAAAAGGGTGATCAGAGGTAATGAACAAGTGAGCTTCACATGACCTGTGTGCCTACTGTCTTCTCTGTGTCTTCAGACAGCAGGATGCCTTTCCTCTAGGAGAGATCAGGGCCCTTGAGTGAGCTTCTCCATATTCAGGGGGTTGGAGAAGGGAAGGTAGGAGTGATCTTCTCACAGGTTTTCTCAAGTGTCTGATGGCACATTTTTGGGTGATTCATCCTGAACCTCATCAGGTTGGTGTATATCTTTCATGTCTGGTCCAACTGAAGAAGTGTAGATTCTCCCAATTGTTTTATAGCTTGTTTTTGGTGAGAGTATAGGAAGAAAACCTGGCTCAGTATAGTTGTGTGTTTGGAAAAACTAGTCTTTCATGGCTCTTTGAGTTCATTATTGTGTTTTTTTTCTCAGAAATTAAGGTTTATTTTTCAACCTTAGTACTGTTGCCATTTTGGGCCAGAGCCTTCTTTGCTCTGGGGGGTGTCCTGTGGTTTTGGGGTATATAGCATCACCCCTGGTTACTACCTAGCAGATGCTGTAGTGCTTTCTACTCCACTTACAATTCTGACAATTCATGTCTTAATATTGCTGATCCCAGCCCTCATTGTTGGAAACTGAAACCCCCAACTTACATGTTGGTTTATACATGATCTCTGAAATTGTATCAACAGACTTTACATAATCTGTCTTATGGGCTGAATATTTGTGTATCCCCAAAAGTCATATATTAAAACTCAACTTACCAACTCAGTGGTGCCAGTGTACAAAGATATCAGCAATTTTAGGGGTTGACTCTCTCTAGAGATCTCCCAATTCTATGCTTCCTCCCTCCTTGTTGCATCACTGACAGAATAAATCATATCCATCTCTGTGTTTTCTCCTCCTGCATACTGCTCTAGATGAGCAAAACAGAGTTTTTTTCCTTCTGAGGCCAGCAGTTTGTCTGTCCATAAGGTCAAGAGCTATAGCATGTTCATGTCTGCCATGAATAGATTCTTGGGCATTTCAGATGCTCAATACATATTTATTAAATGATTGAATGACTGATAGAGGGACGTTTGGGTGATAAGATAGCTATTACTCTACTCTGAAACTCCTTTAGATGAGAGTACATGGATGTGTGTACACGAAGACTGGTGTAGAGATGCCTACCACCTTACAGATGCATGGGTCTTAGGAGGACATCTTTGTTGAAATCCATTCAATCGCCCACCTTGTTCTAGTAGAGAGCCAGCAGGGCTTGCCAGGGTGAATTAGAGAACAAATCCTCAGTATAAGCAGTAAGAAAGACATTTCCCCTAGTTTGTCAGGAAAGGAAGGACCTAGCTTACAGGAGCCTAGGCAGAGGAGGACATCACTTGGTCTCAGTGAAAGATTCTTCTAGAACTTTGAGCTTCACTTATCTGGAGTTTTGCACTACACTGGAATAACGTGGTATTTGGTTCGATGGTTCTGGGAAGATCACTGTATTTGTTGTTGCGTAGATATTTGGAATGACCACATCCACCTGAAAAACAAAGGCACACATCAGGTGCACACTTCACTAAAGCTAGAGGAATCCTCCAGGGGTTCATTGCTGGAAGCCTACATACACTCCAGTGTGGTGTGACTGAGCTGGTGGGACTTGTAATAGGTGAGGTTTAGGGGATCGTGATCAGGCTGTGGTTACCACTTTCATGAATGGGTTTATTCTTGACTCAGGGAGAAGGCTAGGTTTCACAAGAGGATGTTGTAATAAAGTAAGGCTACCCCTCATGCTTGAATATTTCTCAGTTAGACCACTATTCTTTTTCCTTCTCTGCTATTATAACCCAGGCAGAGAAAGCCTCTGCCCAGAAGTTCTTCAGGACAATGCTGTTTAGATACTCCAGCCACTAGACTTGAGAGGCAAGTAAACATCTTTACTAATAAGTTATTCAGCTTACTGATAACAACAGAAAGTAGACTAAGACCCAGTAATAAAGGTAAATTAAAGACTGAGACCTATAGATATTTTTCTATTTCATCCTCTTTAGCAGAAACAAAATTCACCAGAGACCCTGGTAGTTTTCCATCATCTAGGGGTATATGTCCCACAAAGGACTCACATTGTTGTACTGACAGCAGGCCACTTGGCAGCCAAAGTGGGATAACACACTTGCAATGCAGAGCTCCAAGAGGCAGAAGATGAGCAGTACACCAGAAATAGCCATGCCTGTATCCTAGAATCAGAAGAAATATGAGGGTATCAGTGCTAGGCGAGGACTTTGACAAAGCTCTGCAATGGAGCATCTGTGTGTCCTTGACAAAGTGTCTCTCTTAGCCTTATGGGGACAAATGTGGCCCAGGCTAAAGTATGGGTTGAAAATGGCTGTTTATCATTTACTCTAGTAGCCTTTATGGGAAGGAAAGCCATTAGTTAAGGAAATGCCCAAAAAAGGTTGCATCAGAAGTAATTTCTTAATAAAATGGGTTGAATAGAGAATACACATGACCTTATATGTCAAAGTGATTAGGCTGGGTGCCATATTGAAGAGAGCTTTGAGGGGGTCAGGGTGGCAGGGGGTGGGGAGCAAGGACAGGGGCAGGCTGTTTCAATGACTGAGGTGACAGATGCAGTGGCTGGGACCCACTCTACAATGGAAAACATGGCTGGTTTGTGGATACATTCCCAAAGAAGAACCAACTGGATTCCTTAAGAAACCAACTGTGAGGTATGATAGGAGGGGCCAACGGTTCCTTTATGGATGCAGCAACTGAAGGATGGAGTTGCCTTACGAGATGGAAAAAAACAAATGCATGCTTATGTGCTGATGGAAAATCTCTAAGAAAATGGAGGGGGTAGACAGTGTAGAAGAGAGAAGGGATGGGGGGAGGAGAGACTTGGTCTGCTGAGAGAGGCTGTGTCTGTTGGCAGGTTGAGAGGACATGCCCAAAGCTGCCCATTGAGCTCAGAATCACTTCCTGTGGCTGCTGAGTACTAGATTAGTGCTGAGCGCCAAACTGAGATGTGTCGTTAGTGTAAAAACACAACCTGGATCTCAAAGGCTCACTACTCAAAATAAAAATATCCCGACACTTACTGCACCTTAATTAAATGTGGCCCTGGCCCTCATTTCTTCACATCCAAGTCCCACATTAGCAAGAATCCTTCCCTGGTCCTTTTGCTGCAGGCCTGTGATGTGGGCTATAACTTTCTCTCTTCCTCAACCTATAAGACTGGCTGTCTATTCTGCTATGTGGGCTTGAGCTATCCTTAAAGTCTCTGCCATACTGCTGTCTGTCTGGATGCCTGTGCAACAATCACTCTTCCTAGACTCCTTCATCTTCTGGGACCTGGCTCTGAGTACACACTGTAGTGCCCATCCCTACAGAACTAGACTTTTCTCCCCTCCCCTGCTATCACCTACTTCTTTTAATAGTGTTTGCTAATGAAAAATTAATAAAAAATTAGTTGCAATTTTTAATGTGGCAAAGAGTTTGAAATCATATATGTAGCCCATATTCTATTTCTATTAGATGGGGCTTGATGCTAGTGCAGGTGGCCAGGTGACAGTTGTTAGAGTTGATCCTGCTGTTGCCTAGCCACGCTTGTTCATGTACTATTTTCTGTGGATGCCAAAGGTCTATTGTGTTGTGACAGAAATTGTATGTCCTGCAAAGCCTAAAAGCCCATCTGACTCTGCAGAAAAAGTTTGTTAGGGTTTGGCAATCTAGACTCCCCTTATGATGCTGTTCTAGGGCCCAATCTTGTGCACATCCTGATATTTGCAAGAAAATGGATGAAACTGCAAGTCATTTTGTTAGGAGAAATAAGCAGGGTTCAGAGAGATGGATGCTGCATGTTTTCTCTCATGTGGAACTTAGATTTTGATTTTTTCTATGTGTATGTCATAACACTAGAAGGGGGGACCAAGAGAAGGCAGGACAACATCATAAGGGAGCTGGGGCATGGAGAGATGTTTCAGGGGTTAACATCACTGGCTGCTTTTGCTGAAGACCTGGGTTTAGGTCCCATCACCCATGTGATGGCTTACAACTATCTATAACATCAGTTTCAGGGACTCCACGGCTCTCTTTTGACCTTCATGGGCATGGGCATACATGTGGTACACAGACATACATGTAGGCAAAACATATGTACACATAGAATAAAATAAATAAATCTTTAAAAAATTAAAAAAAAAAAAGAAAGCAGAGCTGGGATTAGATAGGGTGAAAAGTGAACCAATAGGAGGTGGAGGATAGAGGGGGATGGGAAGGGAAAGGGAAAATTGAGGACAAAGGTATGTGTAATGATGAAACCTAGCACTTTGGATAGCAGCCTAAAAACTAAACAAAAAAGTTTGCAAAGGAGAAAAACAGTGTTTGTTGAACTCTACATAGCAGGTGGGAAGGCTGAGACTGTGAAGGGCTGCTAGTGTATTGGCAGCTGGTGTTTTATACATCATCATGTTGAATTTTTCCAGTACTACAAGGCAGGTATTGTTTTACAAAGACAGTAAAAGCTGATGAGAGGCTGCAGCTGAGGACTTTAAACCCTGTCCTGACACTAAAAGCACTTTTTTCCCCTTCAGTGCTTAATGGGAAGGCTTGATTGTCAGGTCTTTTCTGACATAGTCTGAACATAAGTGTAGGCAGAGATCGTTGGTTGTGGACACTCACCCTGTTGTCGTAGTAAGGATAGTCACTGGGGTAAATATATGTTCCTGAAATACTCATATCTGTGATAAAGAGTATGACGCCCACTGCAGAACAGATGGCACTGAAGATGTTCAAGCCCACACTGCCATTCATCTGGAGAAGACACACCAGGTCAAGATGGGAGAGGAAGCTGAGTATAGCTGAGATGTGCAGATTCAGCAAACACCCCTCCCCCATTTGTACTGTGTTAAATTAGACCACATACAATCTTTCCCGTCATTACCATTTATAAAAGTCACAGTTCCATGGCATGAAGCACTTTATGCATCTGGACCATGTACAGAAAGGTATGTCTAGATATGTTAAACTTCTCTTTCTGGATATTTTCCAATAGAGTTTATGATTTTAGGATCTTGATCACTAGGAGGCAGTTACTCTGGGCAACCTACTTATCAAGGAAGCAGAGCTATTGTACTGGTCCATTGCTAGGGAAGCACACAAAACTCTTTCCATATTTCTTCAGAGTGTAGTTTCTGGATTTCTCAGTGAAGCAGGTGCTGGGACCTTCACTGGCCCCTGCGGGAATGGCTGGAAGCCTGCTCTATGTGCTATGGACATACTCTGTATAGTGTGTCTCGATTAACTGGTAGCTTTGTGTTTCCTCCTGTGAAGGTCTTCTATGCAAGCTAGTCCCACGTTCCTCTGTCAGTGGTAGTAGCATTGTCCGTCCGTCCATCCGTCCGTCCGTCCGTCTGTCTGTCTGCACCTGTATGCAAGGGTTAGTGTGCATGTGAGTGCCCTAGGTCTGGTTTTGGTGGTGCAGGAGTAAGGGAAGGATTGCTTGTCAGTCTTATTCCTCACTGAGACACTATAGGTCTCCAGGTGGGACAGACAGTCTCAGAATGTGACTTACCAGGCAGGGTGAATTGGGCTGATTTTCTGCCGCCACTGAGAGAGATCCTGAAATGATAAACTTGTGCACAAGATTGAGAGCTTAACAAGGGTTAGGCATCAGCACACCCTTCCATAAGAATCTGATTTGGAGAGCAGACAGTCTCATACAGATTTACTTATGGTAGAAAATATGTGTGTTGAGTTGCTAAGTGACAGTGACAGAATAATCAGGGTTTATCAGAACAGGTTTTAAAGTCTAGTTTGAACTTAACTAGTCTTTGGTGAATTAATAATCCCTCTAAGTCTTCATTTCCTCATCTGAAAAAAATGTGGACATCCCTATCTTTTTAGGTATCACTGTTACAACTTATGCCTCAAATTTACTGTGTCTTGTTCATAGTACTCAATTGATGTTACCCCATTTCCTGCTGTTTGTTTACACATGCTCACTATTTGAGTCTTTCCAGGATTTATATCAGGACTCATGAGGTGTGGGCCTCTGGAGGGAAGAGGGAGAGGGTTCAGATAGGAGTTCAGTATTAGTCCTCTCTGTTGCATGCCTGAATGGGTTCTGTTCAATCGCTTAGACAATGAATGCGAGTCTCTGACGCTGAGCATCATACAAGGGGGGAATTTCTTGCCAATAACTTGTGCTCTGCAGGGATCAGCTGCCATTGTTTGCCTGGTGTGACAACAGAGGTGGTCTAAGAGGGCAGCAACTACGATTTCATAAAACCTGCTGGCTTCTATTTGAGGTGTTTAAGAAATGGCACTGCTGAGAGAAAATTCACATGCTTTACCATTCATCACAGTCCCAATATTTTTAGTATATTTATAGTTGTATAATCTAAGTCCAGAACATTTTCATCATCTCCTACCCAGTAGTAATCTTGTCCATATCTTTTTCGTCCACCCACACACAGTGTTTCTCTTAAGCCCTGAGTACTAGTCCACCAAACACCACTGTTATTTCCTTTTTAAAGATGTCCAAAATCTGGGTGTAGGAGATATATCATTTTCTTCAGCAGTGTGGCACCTAGTAAGTTGCTATGCTCTGGTAAATACCCCCTCACCCATGCTCATACAAACAACCCTAATAAAACTCAGTGGTCAAAAGAAAAAAAAACCATCAAAGTAGGAGCTGGTGTTTTAGACACAGAGCAAAGGATCACCAGCCTATAATTCACACAGCCAGAGAAACTAGGATACAAGGAGGAACCTAAGAGATTCATACAAGGTCCCTCACAGAAGGGGAAAGGAAGATAATCCTGAGCATATTGGGAGCAGGAGTGGAGGGGGCAGTGAGTAGGGAGGGAGTTAGGAGAGAGAGAAGGGGAGGAGAACCTGTGGGGCTAGGAAGATTGAGTCAGGGGACAAAGAGACAAGAGCAAAGAGAGAGAGAGAAGAGAGAGAGAGAGAGAGAGAGAGAGAGAGAGAGAGAGAGAGAGAGAGAGAGGGAGAGAGGGAGAGAGGGAGAGAGGGAGAGAGGGAGAGAGAAGAAAAGAAAGAGATACCATAATAGAAGGAGCCATTATAGGTTTGAAAAAAAAACCTGACTCTAGAGAAATGTCTAGAGACCTACAAGGATGACCCCAACTAACAATCTGAGCAACAGTGGAGAGGCTACCTTAAATGCCCTTCCCTGATAATGAGATTGATGACTAACTTATCTACCATCATAGAGCCTTCATCTAGTAGCTGATGGAAACAGAAGCAGACACCCACATATAAACACTGAGCCGAACTCCTGGAATTCAGTTTCAGAGAGGGAGGAGTGATAAGAAAAGGGGTCAAGACCAGGCTGCAGAAACTCACAGAGACAGCTGACCTGAACAAGGGGGAGCTAATGGACCCCCCAGACTGATAGCTGGGAAGCCAGCATTGTACTGACTCAGACCCCCTGAACATGGGCAGTCTAAGGGATCTCTGACATTGGAACCAGGATGTATCCCTGGTGCACGAAAGTACTTTGGGGGCACATTCCCCATGGAAGCATACTCCCTTAGCCTAGAGGCAGGAGGGAGAGCCTAGACCCTACTCCATTTTACTTGACAGATGCCTCCTGGAAGGCATCACTCTCCCTGTGGAGTATGTATGTGGGAGAATGGGATGGGGGGGCAGGGGGCACCGGAGGGAGAGGGTACTGGGCTGGATATGTAAAATAAGAATGAATATATATATATATATATATATATATATATATATATATAATAGGAGCTGGACTATTTGGGGAAAAGTGGGGGGTCAGTAGGAGTGGGAAGAGGGATAAAAGAGGGTAACGGGAGTGAATGTGATATATGAACATATTTATAAAGTTTTAAAGTAAATTTGAAAATATGGGCAGAATGAGGCTTATGGATTTTAAACCATTTACTCAAGATCATCAAGCAAGGAGCAAAGCTTGAGATCAAACCCAGTAGCTTGACTTCAGACTCAACCTCTTAGACTTTGTCCTGCATTCCCATTTGGGGCAGATGCTTAGTAACCTACAATGAAAATGTATTTGAGCTGCTTCCCTTCCAAGGAAAATGTCTTTTTTTTTCCTTTTTCTTTTTCTGTCATTGGAGCAACAAGCCTCAATTTCACAGCTTTTCCCTTACAGAAATGAGTTAGAAAGTAAGGGAAGAAAGTTGGGCTTTCATGTTCTTGTTAGTCCTCCGGAGGTGCCAAAGATGTTCCTTTGCCCTGGAGAAGGGTGTTAGTAATAGATGAGAAATAGAAAGGCAGACTTGGAATTAAGAAAGTGACAAGGAACAACGACAGGCAATGGCAACAACAAAATGCCTGAAGACAAAGAGAAGAAAGTTCTGACCTGAAGGGCCAGTAGGGCATTTGGGATGTCAGGACACTTCCAGGTGCTCACAAACACTCAGCAGAATCGAACATGATACAGAAAGCCAGTGAATAGTGGTGACATTGTGAGATGTTTCAGCCCAGGCATCTATCTGTAGAGGGCTGGGGGAGGAGAGGGGGCTCAGCTCCAAGTCTGGGTTAGTTCAGAGTTCAAGAAACCTGCAGCCTGGGAAAATGATCCATGAGCAAGAGGAGTCATGAATGTGGGTCAGAAGAGGAGGGAACAGGGTGTTATCTCTGAAGGCACATCCTTGTGGCTTTGCAAGCTTGTGAAGCTGAGGGGATGGCACAGTTGCCAACCTATTTTATTATCATTGTACAGGAAAGGTTGGCATTGGTTGACTTCTAAGGTCATTCTGGAGTTTTGATATTTATGGGAAAGCTTTTATTGAGCCATAGGTAGGTGAGAGAAAAACAAAAGGAAGTTGGAGAGGGGCAGAGCAGGGTGTGTGTGTGCTGGGGAGGCACCAGGAGAAGAACGAGAGGGTTGGAAGGCAATAAACTGGCATGGAGGGAGCACAGCAGCATCTTTGTGGAGTTACAGATCACATGGGCCTTTTCAGAAAGGGAATGCATAGCTAGCAAGCTAGATAGTCCTCCAAAATGGCGCGAGCCCAGGTGTGGACAGCGAGTTAGACATCTCCACTGCTGGCTCACAAACTTTACTGACTGTTGAGAAAGAAAGAAAAAAAAGTGTTTCTTGAACTCTGGGTGTCTGTTGAACAAGGCCTGAAAACCTAACCCCAGTACTATTTTCTTTGTGAGTTAAATGCTGCCATTTCTGTGTTGATGATCTTAGTCTTTGGTGAATACAGCTTTGTAGGGCTATTGCTGATTTGTGACCCTCAGTTTCATATTTAAAAAGATCTAGCTCCAGAACCTCAGAATGTGACTATATAGGGTTTTACCATGTCTCCCTGGTTTGCCTGGGGCTCACTATGTAGATTAGATTGGCCTTGAATCCATAGAGATCCTCCTGTGTCTGCCTCCAGAGTGCTGGGATTAAGGGTGTGTTTGATTTTGCACCTGCCATTCTTATAAGTGTAGGTTAGCAATGAACATGGGTGGACTAGAATTGTCATGCTAAGTGAAATAAGCCAGAATCTAAAATATGAATACTGTATGATTTCTCTCATAGGAAGATTGTAGTGTGTGTGTGTGTGTGTGTGTGTGTGTGTGTGTGTGTGTGTGTGTATGTGTGTGTGTGTGTGTGTATTGTTACTCATGAAAGGGGACAAAAAGATCATAAGGTTGATGATGGCAAATGAAAGTGGCAGAATACAATGACTATGAAAGCAGAAGGGGAGAAGGGGAGTGTCAACCCGATGACCTGGGAAGACAGTCTCATTGAGGGATTGTCTACATTTGTTTGGCCTGTGATCATGCCTGGTGAGGATTATCTTAATTAAGTTAATTGACATGGGGAGACCAGAGTCACTGTGGGCAGCACCATTCTTAGGCAGGGGTTCCTGACTATGTAGGAGCTGAGAACTTGAGTTGAGCCCAAGCATGCATGTAGGGAGAGCGTTTGTGCATTCACTTCTCTTTGTTCTTGACTATAGCTATGATGTGACTAGCTGTTTCAAGTTCCCAATGCCTTGACTTCTTTTCAGTAAAGGACGCTAGCCTGTAGCCTGGAATCATAAGCTAAAACAAATCCTTTCTCCCCCTCCATGTTGCTTTGTCAGGGTAGTTTACCACAGCAATAGAAATGAAACTAAAACAGGGAGGTATTAGGGGAAGGAAGGGGTCAAGTGGGAGGGAAGCAGGGGAGAAAGGGAGCAAAGGAGGGGTGGCATGGAGAAGGGAAGCAGGAACAAAGTATGAGTAAAAGTGCCATAATTAATCCATTACTTTGTATACTAATTTAAAACACCCCCACTTCCACCATCATTACCACCACCACTACCAACGCTATCACCTCCATCTTTCACCACCACCACCAATACTACCAACAACACTATCACCCTCCACCACTCCCATTATTCCTACCACCAAAATACCACCACCACCACCAACAATGACAACAAACACCAAAACTATCATCATCATCATCAGCAACAACAACAACGACGAGATTGGAACACAAACAGGCATAGAGGGAAGAATCCAGCAGAAGATGGCTAGCTGTAAGGTTAGGGGAGACTTCAGTGTTGATTACTAGCTGACATTCTGGTCTTGGATTTCTGGCCTTCAGAACAGGGAGATAATATACTTTTGTGGTTTGGAGCTACCCAGCCTATGGCACTTTGTTAAGGTTCATCCCAACCCCTACACAAACTAAGATATTTGAGCAAGAACCCCCATATTCCTGAACAGATTGATAAGGCTTCCCTGAGCATCAGACTAGAGCTACTCACCCAGATGCCTCCCCAGAAGGGGAAGCCTCCATAGAGGGAGACAGGTGTATAGTACCCGAAGAGGTTGGTGAACATGATGGAGCCCACGCCAATGTGCACCAAGCCAATAAGGATCTGGATGGCCTGTCAGGAGAGCCAAAGCTGAAGTCTTTGCCTCTAAGCCCTGATCTTGCCTTTCCTTCTACTTCCTTTATATTTCAATAACCATTTGATTTCCCTGGTCTAAAAGAAAATGTGAGAAGCATATTAATAAAATCAACACTATTTATAATCAAACTATCCCTGGAGAAAGCAAGAATTTACATTTCATTATAACTTCCTATTGTTCTTTTTCAAACATGTATCTTAACAAAGAAACAGCGTCTCTGCACTTAGTTTAATGCTTCATTGTGAGCACATCCTTCAGCTGTTAAACTTTCTTTGTATGTGTGTGTTTGTACATGTTTATATGTGTATGTGCATTCATGGGTGTGTGAGTGGAAGCTACAGATTGTTATCCGGTGTCTTTATCAGTCATTCTTCATCTTATTTTTCTGAGACAGAGTGTCTCACCAAATTTGGAGTTTACTAACTGGCTACCATGGCTGGCCTGCAATCTCCAGGGAGCCCTTGTCTCTACCTTCCCAGCGTTAGTAGTATAGGCTCATACTTTTATACCTAGCTTTTACATTGTTACTTTGGAGCTCTATAGGATAGGAGAAAGTTATATGAGAGCAAAGGGCAGCATAGATGTCTCAGTTTCCCTGTGCTCTTGTTGTGCATGTAACCTGCTTCAAATTCCTGTTTGACTTCCCTGGTAACCTGGAACTGTAAGCCAAACAAACTTCTTCCTCCCACCTGGTGCTTTTTATCAGAGTATTTTGCCACAGTAACAGAAACAAAACTAGAAGTGATAGTTCAGTTGCTCCCATCCTGTCTCTACAAGCTATATAGCATCAAATAAACTTATAGGTGCCACATTTTTTTTTGGTGCATATTGGCATGTTTGGAGGTTAAAGTCTCAGAAACAGACCACTGGATGCTTTTTTAAAAATGCAAGTTGCCTATTTTTAGACTTCCCCAAGCCAGATTAGAGCATGAGTTGGGATTGGAACGTGGGCTCTGGATCAGAATCGATGTTTGTTACCATGGATTATGCAACGAAATGGATTCCCTTGTGCTATTTAGGTTAGCCTTTCAGGCATTGCTGCTGGTCTAGCCTGCTTGCCTTCTTTCTATTTTGGGCAAAGACTTGATTTAATAATTGTGGATTTCATTCCACCTTTGGGAAACTTTGTCCTTGTTGGATTTTTCTTACTTCCTAAGCTATAGGAAGCAAGTGCATAGAGGCAAAAGGATCTATGTTCACAATCACTGCTTTTTGACTATTTTTAAAAAAATTCTTTGTTCCCAAATGCCCAAGTCAGAAACTACAAGGCTGCACACTGAGGCTCCTTGTGATAAAGAAATTTCCAACAGACCTGGATTTGGCAAAGCCAGCCTCACCTGCTTTATTTGTAATTTCTTTTCTTTCTTTTTGTTTGTATTTATGTACCTATGTATGTATGTATGCATGCCTGCATGTATGTATCATGTATGTACATATGTGTGCACATGTGTGTTTATATGTCTCCGTGTGTGTTCATGCATGAATGTGGATGCATGGGCTTTGGGCACTGTGTATCGTGTGTGTGTATGTGTGTGATGACATGTATGATGAGGCTGACATCTACCTTGGGTATCATTCCCCAGGATCCATTTAATTTTCTTTCCTCACTAGCTTGGAACTCGCCATGTAAGCTGGGCTGGCTGGCCAGAGACCTTCAGTGATCTACCTGTCTTTGCCTTCCTGGTTCTGGGATGACAGTGTGCTTTCTCACAGCCATTTTATGTAGGGTGGGTTGTGGGGATGGAACTCAGCTTGACAGCACTTCACTGAGCACTTTCCTAACTGAGATATCCTGTTCTGCTGCTCTTTATTTGGAATTTCTATTCACCTGTCTCAAACCTCTGTTTCCCTCTCTCTGTAGCATGGCATAGGGCTCACAAAGTGAATTTTACTTACCCCTAGGACTTTGCCGTTTTTCAAGACTTTCTGGGCCGGCACAGAAATAGGTGGATTCCCAGGAATTACATGGATTTGAGCCTGGTTGTTTGGATACAGAGGCACTTGAGACCTGGCTCCTGGGACTTCAGGGTAAGCATTGTGGGGTGCCACCACATATACACTATTGGCCATGGAGCCTGGTGAAGGCACTGATTTCATGCTGATGAAAACAAAAAGTACAATGGAATCACTCATCATTTATATACTTGTGTTTATAGTTTTAAAGACTTGGAGAGGCTAGGGAGATAGCTCAATCGGTAGCTACCTACTACTCAAACATGGGGATATGAGTTTGGATCTCCAGCACCTTTGTAAAAAGTCGAGTGCAGGACCTTGAGATGACTTAGCAGATGAAGGCTCTTACTGCCTGATGACCCGAGTTTGGTCCCTGGGACTCAAATGGTGGAAAGAGAGAACTGACTCCCCAGAGTTGTCCTCTGATCTCCAAGCACATTTAGTGGCACATATGTGGCCATACACAGTAAGTAAATAAAATGTATCAACAATAATTCATAATTAAAGCAACTTTGTTGCAGGTCAGAAGCGACAGGAAATACAAAAACCAACCAAACAACAAGAACACCACCACCAACTGAGAATGACTTTTTCTTGAGCAATTCAACCCGTATACTTGCTAATCCCATTTTGAAGATATTGTTGAACTTTATAGGGCTGTGGGGACTGTCAGACAGCCAATGTTATACAAAGGCATCTCTTTCAGTCCTAACCTCAGTCCCATAGACTAATAAAGCAAGGCCTAGAGAGGTTAGGGGAACCCAGAAGACAGGCTGAGCCTTTTCCCTGCTTGCATGTCTCTAGTGTTTTGATCCTGGTTTGCATACATTGGAATTACCTGAACCTGGATTGCCACAGTGGAAGGACTCTTAGGGAACACTGAGTTCAATTCTCTTAGATTTTGGAAAAGAAACTTAGAGAGGGCATTGTGCCCAAGAAAAGTCCATTATCAACCAGTGTAGTGTGTGCGTGTGTGTGTGCATGCATGCATGCGTGTGCTCCATGTCACATACTTGGAGGTTAGGGGATAACTGGTGGGAGTTGATTCTCTCCTGCTACCCTGTGGGTCCTAGATCTCAAACTCAGGCCATTAGGTTTGGATGCAATAATCCTTACCCACTGAGTTTGTATGCCTTTAAACTTTTCTAATTTTGGAGTAGACACAATAAACTGAGTACAATGCAACCTTCTAATGTCTTTCATCTACTTACATTCTCCATGTCTCATTTGACACAAACGCCTTATCGCTGTCCCTCAGTGAGCCATACAAATACTTGATCATGTACACTCACCTTACTGTGCCAAGTAAGTCTCTCTTGCTCCTGCTTCCAACTCTGCTGTGGAAAACTTACTTCTCTAGAGAATGACTGCTCCCAGTACAGTTGGCAAATGATCCGAAGTCCTCTCTACTTCTTTATTGGCTGATGCTGGATCAACAGCTGTTCAGAGCTTCCACACCCATATTTGCTTCCTGCTTTAGTCACTGAATCAACTAAATTCAGTTCCATTTTTCAAGGGTTTCATGATGCCTGAATAGATACATGAGGTGTGGTGGATGCTCTGGGAGACAAAAGAATGACCTGAACACTCCGGGCTTGATGTGCTGAACTGAAATAGAGGACAGGGTGACATCAATTTTACAGCAAAAAGATAAGTGATCCCAGGAGGACACACAAAGAAATGATTGATTAGATATTTGAAATCATTGAACTGCAATGAAAAAAGTTGGAACCAATGGGTAAAATGAGATTTACACTTAACTCCTGTATTTATTATCAATGACTTATTTATAAGTAAGATTGTTTTGCCTTTATCTATGTTTGTTTACCATGTGTGTACAATGACTACAGAGGCCAGAAGAGGGACACTGAACCTCCTGGCTGTTACATATGGTTGTGAACGACCATGTAGATGCTGAGAATTCCTACTGGCATATAAAAGACACTCAATAAAATCTCACTGACTGAGCACATGGAGATGAGGTGACAGCTGGAACTTTGTAAGTTAGCCAGTTGAAAGAACATTATAGGTAGAGGCTATGGAAAGGGACAAAGATAAGCAGAGAAGAAAGTACAGGACAAGCTTTGGGCAGGCACATAGAAGGCACATTGAAAATGAAAAGGATGAAAAAATCCGGATGCAGGCAAACCTTGCCAATACCCATTTCAACCAGATTTGCCCCTTGGCTTTTAGACGTAATTCTTTATTAGATCTTACCAGTGGAATATTTTCTTCTAACAATTTGGCAATTGTTTATTGTATTTTCATGTGGTATGTATGTATGTATGTATGTATGTATGTATATATGTATGATTGTATGATTGTATGTATGTATGTATGTATGTGTTTGTGTGACCATGTGTAGGTCAAAGGTCTATGTTAGATGTTTTTCTCTATCGCTCTCTGCCTTATTTTTTCAAACTTTCCTTTAGCATATGTTAGTTTTATATATAGCGATAGGTTTCACTCTGACATTTTATACATTTATATACTAGATTTGGGTCATAGTCTTCCCCTCATTATTTTCTTATTCCTCTCCTGTTGATCCTCTTCCTTTTACCAACAAGTCATCCTATCTCCGTGTTTCTCTCTCTTTTTTTTTTTTTTAGGGAACAATATGTTTAATAAAGATCACTTATAGGAACCTGTTGAGGATTTACTTATCAGTACGTGGACAGCTTACACGTGGTTGCCCGGATGAGGGAACTATCTCTCCTTCCCTCAGCAACCATCAAGTGCTCATAGCTCTCCAGGAGTGGTGTGGCTTCATAAGCCTCTGCCTATTTGCTTTGTTTTTTAGAGACAGCATCTCACACTGAATCTGAAACTTTATGATTCCACTAGGCTGGCTGGTCAGTGATCTCTGGGGATCCCACTAGGCTGGTTGGTCAGTGAGCTCTGGGGATCCACTAGGCCGGCTGGTCAGTGAGCTCTGGGGACCCAGGCTCAGAGTTATAGAAGCATGCTGCTTCATCTAGCTTTTCTTGTAGGGTGTGGGGAGCTGAACTCAGGCCCTCATGCTTTCTCAGCAGGCATTTTGTTTAGGGATTCTTCTCCTTGGGCACAGTAATTGTATTTCAACTTATTAAAACACTTTTGAGCCTGAAAAAAAAATCCACATTTAAAATGTATCGATTCTTTATTTTATTACTTAGGATTTTGAGTCACAGTTAGAAGACCTTTTAGACCCATGATTAAATATAATTTCACTTTTATTTTCTTCTAGTACTTCTGTGATTTTACTTTTAAGAAAAAAAATGACAGTGCTGGGAATGGAGCCCAGGGCCTCACACACCTTGGGGGAAGGGTTCTACCACTTTTAACATTTTGATTTCCTTATATGAGTTTATTCTTGCAAATAGTATAAGCTGTACATCGGATTTTGTACCCTTTAAAAAGACTATTTTATTTTTTTATAGTATTCTACCAGTCAGCCCATTTTTACTGCAGTGTACTGAAATGCCACCTTAGTAACAAGCTCAATTTCCAGTTGAGATTTCTTCCTTCTATGCCACTGGCCTGCTTGTCTATGCAGGTGCTACTCCAATGGTATTTTCCTTACAGAGTTTCTAGACTATGCTTTAATGTCTGGTTGGATCAGTCTTTCTCGAAATTAAACACATTTTTCTTCATTTTTTTTCTTTCTATTCTTCTGAATTTACTTTTTAAAGAGGAGGTTTCCTGTAATTTGTCTAGCTCCATAAAATAACTCAGCAGCCTCTAAGAAAGATGAATGATGTAAAAAACCACTTGTACTGCGGGAAGTAATAAGAAGTATATGGTCTTGGCCATGTAAATGACTAAGCCTTAGGTCATGTGGGTCTTATGGAACCAGATTTAACCAGCTATCTTACATAAGTTGGGATTTTATCCCTTTTCTTGATTTCCTGGAAATGATGCTGCCTTGAAGGGATTAGAAACTTTGAGGGGAGGGAAGTCTCAGGAGGGGTGGAGAGATCCAAACAATACAGCAGACGCTGTTGGTTTGGATTTGAGGTGACACTGTTCAGTTCCTGGTGAGAAGGAAGCATGAGAGATAGGAAGACTGATGACCAACCAAGTTTTCAACACATGAACCTGTAGAGACAATTTATGTTCAAACTATAACCTCCCTCAAGGATGCTCAATTTCTGCCAATGCTAAACGTTTTCAGGGACTACGTGAGAGTGAATCAGTCTAAAAGAGTAACAGAGCTCACACCTTTAATCCCAGCACTAGAGAGGTATATATGCAGAAGAAGCAAAGGGTCTCCCACCTTTTAAAAGAGAATCTGCCACAATGGGTTAGGCCTCACTATTATGACATTTTTACTTCATTTCCTTCCTCTCTCTCTCTCTCTGGTTTTCCAAAACATGTTTTCTTTGTGAGACAACCTTTGGCTATCATGGAATTCCCTTTGTAGACCAGGATGGCCTTGAACTCACAGAGCTCTGCTTGCCTCTGCCTCCTGAGTGCTAGGATTAAAGGCTTGAGCCACCACTACTCAGCTAAGACTTTATCTTTATTAAAGTTTTTTATTTGTTGGGCATGGTGATACATGCCTTCAATCCCAGTGCTGAGGAAGTAGAAGCAGGTGGAACTCTGAATATAAGGCCAGTCTGCTCTACATGCTAAGTTCTAGGCCAGCTAGGACTACACAGTGAGACTTTATATGAAAAACAAAACAAAATTATTCTGTGCTTATAAATTCATGTGTATGCTACTGTACATATGTAGAGGCCAGAGGATAACTTGCAGGAGTTCTTTCATTCTGCCATAGTGGGTTCCAAAGATCAAACTCAGATAGTCAGACTTGGCTTCAGACACCTTGATCTGCTGAGCCATCTTGCTGGTCCCAGACTTTATTTCTAAATGAGGCCATGTTCTGATGTACCAGGTGCTAAAACTGCAACATCTATTTTCTTTTTTTTTTATTGAGGAACACAAACCCATCATAATCTCTTCCAGAAAGCTATCAGGAACTTTTTTGGGGGCTTAAAAATACTAAAAATGATCACACCTCTAGCTTTCAGAGATGGGCTCTGGTCAGCAGTATTGGGAAATAGGAAACTTACCTTCTGGTTTCCAAAATCACCATGGTTGTTACAATGATGAGAACTAATGAATTATAATGTCAGCCTGTTGATGGAGTGCAGGTATGAGCTGTTCTAAGCT